TCTCTCCTGCAGCTGGGCCTGCAGGGCCTTCCGCTCGCCCTTCAGGCTCCGCACTGTGCCCCGGAGACGCTCACTGTCCTCGTGGCGCTTGTTGTCCTCCTGGCACTCGGGTTGGGGCTGCCTGTGGGCCCAGGCGCTGGATGCGGGGAGAGCCAGCGGGTCTGACCGGACCACGTCCAAAGCCTGAGGTTCTGGGCTTTCCACTGAGCTGATCTTCTGGGGCAACACGGGCGCTTGTTAGACGTCACTGCTAGAGACCCCACGGGCATCAGCCCCGCCCCGCCTGGGAAAGCTCGCCCACTGTGCCCCTGACCTCCTCCGGGGCCTTCCTTTCCTAACAAGCTTGATTTAAAATTGCCCACAAAAGCCCGGCCGGGCGTGGCTCAGCAGTTGAGCATCAACCTAGGATCCAGGAGATTGCAGTTCGGTTCCAGGTCAGGGCACAGGCCCAGGTTGCGGGCTTGATCCCCAGTAGGGGCGTGCAGGAGGCAGCCGATCAATGACTCTCATCATTGATGTTTCTCTCCCTCTCCCTTCCCCTTTCTGAAATCAATAGACATATTTAAAATAATAAATAAAATTGCCCACAAATTATGAAGTTATTATGTTTTCTGCTTTTAAATATGCGAAGTTGTATTTATAAAGTGTTTCCCTCCAGGTTTACTCTCTCAGCCAAACAATACAGCAGCGCTGAGTATTTCACCCTCTGCTCAGAGGTGCCGGCGCTCTGACTGCACCAGTCAGACTGCTTAGTCTGCAAATCCATGCTCGGACCTGAGGAAAGTCCACGGCATGGACAAGCAGTTCTCTGTGAGCTCGAGTAGCGCACGTGGGTGAGGCAACCACCTGGGAAGCGATGGGCAGCAGGAGCCCAGGTGTGCAGGTGAGGCTGGGTTCCTGAAGGCGCGGGCCCTTTGCACCCACCACTGTCCTGGCTGGCATGGTGTGGCTCAGGTCCCGCCCCACTCTGGTCTGCCGTGCCCATCTGCAGGGCCACCTCACTCAGCCCCTAAGTCCAGGAGCAAAGCCCCACACCTCTCCCTGTCTTTATCAGCCACCCATACTCCTCGAGCACGGGCAGGTCCTGGACAAGGCAGGCGACGCTCACCTTCTCCAGCTCTGCGATCCGTCTCAGCAGCCGGGCCTTACTCCACTCCATGTACCCTAGTGGGAGCAACGGGCTTATAAAAGACACTTCCTGCGACCCCCCAACAGGCCCCTTTGGCCAGACCACTGTCTTCAGTGGCCTGACGGCCTGCAGCTCCCCTCCCAGGCTGGCTCCGCCGTGGGGCCTGTGAGGCCAGCAGACCCCTTGCTCCAAAGGGCTTCTCCATGTGGAGTCTGTATCCCTCCCACTGTAGAGTCTCCTCAGGCCTCCATTGGACATTCTTTCCCGATTCTGCCCTCATCAGGCTCTCGCCCCACCTGCCCATCAACACGACTCTTCCAGGTCACCAGGGTCTCCCTGTGCCAGCCCCACAGCCCAGCCCCCGTCACAGCCTCCTGGGTCAGCCCTCGTGTCCTGCACCTGCCCTCAGGCCACCGCTCACTCCTGCCCCCCACCACTCACAGGTGCCCTGATGAAGCCCGGGTCACCTGCTCCCTGGCGGCCACCACGCTCAGTCCCGCCAAGGCCTCGGCCCCGAGCTCACCGGCGCCCCTCCCCCAAACCTGCTCCTCTCTGCACTGTGCGCCGCCCGGTCCAGGACACCAGCAGCCCCTGTGAGGACACTGGGGCTTGGTCCTCTGGGCCCCCTTCCACCACGGTCTGCTCAGCACAGCAGCTGGGGCCTCAGGAAGCGGGTCAGACACTTTCCACGCCTGCTCAGCCCGTCGCCCGGTCTGAGTGGCCTCCCAGCCCTTGTGCTCCACGTGGCCTCACTGCCTCCGTCCTCAGCACCACCATCTCCTCTGCTTCCTGCTGGCCGCTGACTGGTCCCAAAATGTGCCAGGACACACGGGGCCTCTGTGCTCACACCCTCCTGCCTCAAATGCCCTCCCGGTGACCCGCACAGCTGCCCCTCAGCTTGCAGGCCTGTGCTCGGCTGGGCCTGCCGCGGTGGGCCCTCCCTGATGACCCTACCACAGGTACACACCTGCCCCCACCTGCCGCCTCCTTCACTCCTTCATCCTGCCCCTGGCACTCACCCCACCTGGCCCGCACCCGACCTGCTGGCTCCTCTCCCTCCCTGACCTTCATGAGGGACGTCTGTGTGCCTCTGTTTACTACTCTGTCTGGCACCCAGAACAGAGCTGGGCACACAGCAGGTGCTCACTAATTTCCGGGACACATTCAGCGCAGCATGGCTCAGTGGTACGAGGCTGCACTAGGGGGGCCTTGCGGTGGGGAGAAAGGGCCTATGTCTCCCTCAGAGAAGCAGGGGCGTGGCCCCTCCCTGCGGGTCCCCCGGGGTGGCCAAGGGAAGGTACCCTTTGTCCGGGAGACGGTGGGCGAGCTGCTCAGCACGCGGTCCAGGTCCTCCTTCAGGCTCTGGTTCTCCTCTGTGAGCTCCTGCACACTCCGGGACAGGCTCAGCAGGGCACTGCTCAGCTTCTTCTGCCTCCTGAGACCAGCTCTCTTCTCCACCACAGGCCTAGAGACCACAGAACCAGGCCACCGAGTTCACACCGGCCTAGCAACTGTGTGCGTGGGGGCAGGAGGGCTCTCGGCCCCGGGGGTGCCACGGGTGAGTGTGGGAGTCACACGGAACATGAGCTCTGACCCCGTAAGCAAGCTGTCACCCCAACAGAATTCCGCCTTTGCAGTTAGTGACCGTATGACCAGCACCATGCCCAGGTCTCCATGGTGCTGTCGCCAGTGTGGACCTCCTGCTCCATCAGCACCTGTAACCGGGGCTGAGTCGCCTCCCATTCCCGAGCCTAAAGCACAGGCCCCCTCGTCCCTCGGGCTCTGCGTCTGCAAGTCTGCTGCTCGCCACCGTTCATCAGTGACCCCGGCTGATGCATGGCAGGTGTGCAGTTGCCATGGCCACGGCCAACTCCGAGCCTCAGCCCTCATGTCACCGCGTGTCATTCACAGTCTGCCCAGGGCCCGCTTTTCACGCGTTGGGCGTCAGCGAGCCACCGTGTCAAGCAGCCCCTCAGCGCAGCACGTCCAGTGCTCTCGCTGGAGACGACACAGCCTCGAGGGCCCTGGGGTCAGTGTTACCGCAGCAACGATGTACAGCAAGGAGGGCGCCCTGAACAGCAACACCTAAACACACACCCAGTGGGCAGAGGCTGCAGGAAATCACCCGCCGTCCCCAGGGCCACACGCTTAGCATCTGACGGCCCAGCGCTCTGCAGACCAGGCACAGAGCTGCTGCGAGTGACAGCCGACGGCAGCACCGCCCGCCCTTCACAGAAACTGTGCCAGCCCCGCTGTGCCAGCTGGGCACAGGGAAGCCGGCCTGGCAGTGCAGCTGCTCTGGGACGTGCGTCACCTACAGAGGCAGTGAGCAGCAAGGCCGCGTCTGAAGGGACCAAGGCTTCCACAGTCTGCTGACGGCCTGTACCGTCTGGGAGGGGTAAGGGGAACCTGTGTGACAGGGACACCTCGATGTCCCCCTAACACGTGGAGTCTGGAAGCCAGTGCTTGCCGACTGTAAGCTGGGGCTGCAGGTGTTTGGACAATGACCGCACGGGGCACATGCTGCTGGTAAGCATGAGTGGCTGTGAGGCGCCTCCACAGCCATGGCAACGGGAACACAGCAAACACCACTAAGGAGTGAGCTTAACACAGAGACAGCGCTCGCTGCGGCCTGAGATTACCGAGACCACCGTACCGTGTCCTTCCTGTCGGTTCCGAGCTCGCCAGCAGCGTCTGGAGACGATGGATCTGCAGAGACCAAGGTGAGGGGTGTCAAGGTACCAGCGAGCACACGGCCGCTCTCCTCTGACAGCTGCAGTCAGATGCCAACGTCTGCCCGCAGGGAGAGGTAACTGCTGGGTGCTGTGACTCGTTCACGCTGACACAGGGCAGGGTCCCCACAGTGCTGCCGGTGGCCACCCCACGAGCCGTGACCCGCTCCCTCTCCTCCAGCCCTGTGCTTGCTCCAGGCAGCGGGCACCCACCTCCTCGTAGTACGTCTCCATGATAATCCGCATCTCTTCCAAGCTCGTGGTCTTCATATCAGCCTGCAGTTTGCTGAAAACCCACGTCGAGTTAGTGCGCGGAGCCAGCATTCCCGGGCAGGGACGGAGACCTGTCCCCTGGACCTCGGGGCGGGACGTGCTCTGGGGAGCTGGGCTGGGAGGGAAGGGATGAGCCGCCAGAGCTGCTGCAGGCCTCACACGAGATCCCCCGACTGATGGGAGAACTGCTCACACCCACGGGGACCCTTCCAGGTGGACTGGCTACGTCCCAGGGGTGACAGACTCCCTGATGATGATCTTGGCTAGTAAGAGGCTGTCCTTAAAGCTGGACACCTTTGGGGTGGGTGGAAGTTGTATGCAGGACAGAGGATTGTCTTTCTTTCTACCGTCAGTATAATTATCTGTTCTTAACTGTTAACAGACTTTAAATAAAGGGACTGACAGAGAAATGAAAGTTAGAGTTCAGGATATGGAAACAAGAAATCAGCAAATACAAAATTTTAAGTTGACAATTTCAGCAAGAAACAAGGAGCCAGGAAACTATTGTGTAAAGCAGAAGGTGGGCAACAGAAAGTGGGAGCTGAGATTTCCGTAAATCGGCTCAAGCGCAGCCGGGAGGCCCCTCTGCTCCCAGACAGCAGGACAGTGGCCAGGCGGCCGCGCCAGGGCAGCAGGCCGTGCAGGCCGAGGGGCGGCTGGGGGGCAAGCCAAGCGTTAGTGCTTCTGTGCCAAGGCCCACAAGGTTCATGCTGGAGGTGAAGAGGGAGCCACGGGGGCTAAGGAGAGAGCCCGTCTTACATGTGGCAGCAACGTAAAGGCGCAAGGAAAACACTGTTCCTTACTGACGCCTGCAAAAGGCAGCTAATATTGACTCTCTTTTTGGCAGAAAGATGAAGTTGGGACCAGGGACATGGAACAGAGGGTGGCGGGTGGGACTAAAGCTGCCGTCGGGGACACGGAGCCAGCACTGGGTGGAAATGAGGCAGGACCCCGCCGAGCCGCAGCCCCAGGAGGGACGGGGCACCTGCGGCGTCTGCGGCCCCGGCCCCCTACCTGATGGTGCTGTCCTTGTCCTTGCACTGCTGCTCCAGCCGCAGGACCCTCTGCTTCAGCCCGTTGATGACCTGCCAGCAGGACACGCGTCAGGTGCCTCCCGCCCTGGCCCTGAGGAGGCAGCACCCCCCAGCACGGTCACCGCTAACTGTCCTCCCTGTTTATAATCTGCACACACCCTATGAGCTAGAATTTCTTTAAAAAAAAAAGTTTTCACTGACTTTGAGAGAAGGAGGGAGAGAAACACCAATGACGAGCGAGCCACGGTCAGCTGCCTCCTGCAGGCCCCTCTTGCTCTCAAACAGCAGGACCCGGGATCGAGCCTGAACCCGGGTCCGTGCCCGACTGGGATTTGAACCAGGGACCTCTTGGTTCCTCCCTAAAAGTGCCCGTTACTGTCAGGACTCCACATCCTCGCCCAGATCACGCCCGTGTTTCGGAACACGGCTGGACCCTCTTACATTCTTTAAAACTCCTCCTGAAGTTCTGATGAAGTGGGACCCAATCTGAAAAGCTTCTCCCCAGTCGGCAGCTGTAAGTGCAGAGCCTTTTCTCTTGGGTCTTTGGGACAGTCCCAGAATGAGCGCGGTGGACGAGAGGGGCCTGGCGTCCCAGGCCACCCTGTGCACGTCCTACTCCAAGCACGTGGTGCCTCCCGGCCCTGTGGTGCTAGTTTCCATCGTCTGTGTCTACACGGCTACTTCACGGCTGAGGCTTCACACTCGGCACCTTAGGACAGTGTCTTCCCTCCAGGACTCACTGCTGGGGACCGAGGGGGACCCTGGCCCAGCCTCAAGGTCATTCCCTGCAAACCTAATTTGGGCCAATCTCTCAGCTTCCTGGTTTTAAAAATGGGGGGTGACGTCCCTGTCACGAAAGCCAGATGAGATCCTGCACCTGCACAAACTCGCCCAAGTGAGTCCCGCTCGCAGACTCCGCCTTCCCGGGCACTCGCGGCTCTCCTGGGCGCTGCACTCAGGGAGCCGGCTGACCACCCGGCGTCTTCTTCCCAGGGCAGCGCAGTCTCCGTGGCTCTGGAGAAACTACTGCATGGACCAAACAGAACGCGGTCCTCCCCTGCCCACTGTCTGGATCCTTTCCGCCGCAGTCTTAGGGGTTTTTACGACAAATCTGTCATCAAACCATCAATCACACCATTGGCACCATTTCATTCTCTGTGTTCAAGAATCTCAAACCGCGTCCCTTCCGTTTCCTTGCAGAATTTCAGTTTAAAAAACGTACTTCCTTGACCGCATCTGTCTACTGAGGGGCATTTTCTCCGGCTGTTAGTTTACTGCCCAGCGCTGGCCACACAACGGCTCTGCGCCCACCTTGCCGTCTCCTTCGGTCTGTACGGTTATTAGAACAGGAGGCGTGTGCGCTGAGTTCACTCCTGCTTTGCTCGCTCTGCACCAGTGTCACCAGGCAGGTCTGACGTGTCTGCCTGGGGTGGTGGGGAAGCCCCGTGTGGCTGCGTTTCCTACAAGATGTTCCGCCTGTGGAAGCGGCTCGGCCCCCACGTCCCCCTCAGTCCCCCACAGCCACGTCCGGGGATCCCTGAGGCTCGGGGAGACGGTTAGGGAGCTCTGGCCCCTCCTCTGTACCTGCTACATGGGTACAGGTGCTTTAGAGAAAAGGCGTCGCACTGTAGGCTGTTTCTAAAGTCAGATTTCAGCAGAAAGGTTACCTGTCAGGCTGCAGCTTTACTTACCCAGCCAGCGTCAGGCCTTTTCTCTCCCAGAGTCCACACAAAATCCGGGCCCTGTGAGAGAGGGGGAGACGTGAAAACACGCCAGTCAGGCTCAGCCCTGCCCGTCCATCCTCCAGCCGGGCACCCCCGCGGGTGGGCACGTACCCGGGTCGGGTCCAGCAGCTGCTCGATCTGCCGGTCCTTCCGTCCGTTTTCCTCCTCCAGGCGCCGCAGCTTCGTCCTCAGCAGATCCAAGTCGCTTTTCTGCATGTGCAACAACTGGAGAGAGGAAGGGCGTGCACGCTGCACACACCCTTGCACACACCTCCCCCGGGTGCACACCACGCACAGACGCCCGGGCGCCAAGCTCACAGCTGCCTGGCTCCCTCAGGGCTGCGCGTGGTGCAGGGTGGAGTCGGACGTCACAGGAAGGAGCGCCGAGGGCGCCGCTGCCATTCGTGGGTGGAGACTGGGGTAAGGGCCAGCTAGGTGCAGGACCGCCCCACGCAACTAAGAACTCTCCCACCCGAAACGCCACGCAGCCCCCCGGGGAAGCGCGGCTCCGCACACCCGCGGCCCACAGCACTTCCGGCCGGTGCCAGGGTCCCGTGCCCTGCGTCCCGGTGAGAAAGCCACTGTCAGCCCATTGCTGACTCATCAAAGGCTCACGTCCATTTAAGATCCTTATTCTCAACGAAGGCTCGGGGGCTTTATCTGCGGATGGAATTTTCACCAATCTGTGGTGAACCGAGAGTTTTTCACAGGAGCTTATTTGATTTCTAAAACTGTCCTGTTTTTGTTTTTGTTAATCTTCGCGCTGGGGATATTCTTCCCGTTGCTTTTCAGAGAGGGTGGGAGGGGGAGGGAGAGAGAAACATCAACGTCAGGGACACACATCGACTGGCTGCAGCCCACGTGCACCCTGACCAGGGCTGGGGACGGAACCTGCAACCAGGTACATGCTCTTGACCGGAATCGAGCCCACGACCCTCTGGTTCGCGGCCCGACGCTCTAACCACTGAGCACCGCCGGCCAGGGTGACTGTCCTGAACTTTGACGTTACAGTCTTCCTACTATTTTGAACTCCCACAACCCTCTTATGACACGAGACGGTCGGGCGCCTGGAATGTGTTTCAATGGTCTCTCTTGAAAAAGGCTTTTCCTAAAAGTGCGAGGTGCACCCAGCGCCCAGGCCTCACCACTTGATGCCCACAGGTCGCCAATGCCACAGGGCCTGGCCGCCAGCACCAGCCTGTTTCTGAGCCACCAGTTATCTAGGGAACAACCTTCTGCCCCCAAGGGGTTCTTGGGCTCAGAGGAGGGAGTGTCTGAACAGCCCAGCCACCCTGGAAGGACGCCGCCCGGTGCACACCCCACTGAGGGGGCCGACAGGTCAGCCCACGTGGACGAGCATCCAGTGGGCAAGTCAGTCGATGCACACGCGCTGGGCAAGGTGAGGAAGCGGACAGTGGGAATTCTGCTCCCGGAAGCATAGAGCCCTCTCGCTTTCCCCTCGCTCCTGCTTTGTGCAGCTTTGGGCGTTGTGGGGAGAAGGCAGGCTACCTGGGGCCTCGGGATTCCGGGGGCGACACGCGGAGATTCCACAGACAGGCGGGTACTGACAATAAAACACCAGACGGCCGCATCGTCACGCCCGCCCGCGACGCACGGGCCTCTGACGGCCACCCGTCCTCCGGCAGAGCGCAGACAGACAGCGGGCGCCGGGCCCACCTTCAGCCAGGTCACCCGCCGGGGTTCCGCTTGGGTCACCCTAAAGCTCACGCTCTCCACGCAGCTGCGCCCCAGCACAGCCCTCATTTTCCATCCACGGCGGGAAGGCGGCCACTGTTCAAAGCCCACGAGAGCAGGGGAAACGCTACCTTCTTCAGGCCCATGATCTCGTCGTACATCTCCTCCTTCTCTCTGTAGACCGGCGTCCCCGGGACGTGACCTGGGGGAAGACACAAGCCCCTTAAGGGACCTGGAAGGAGAAAGACTTCTCGGCTCTATCTTAAGAAAAACAGGGAAGTTAATATAATTGTCCTTGAAACAAAAAGAGCAGAAACATTTCAATGCTTTTAGTCTGATTACGATGCTGTCCCTTCGGAGACCGGCCATGCTGTGGAGGGCGGGGCAGGACGGAGGTGTGAGGGCCGAGCCGGGAGGGGTTGGCGGAGGCGTCAAAGGAGCTGCGACGTTTACAATTCAACAGAAGCACAACAAACGCCCTCCGGATGTCCAAGCTGTGGAGAGCACTGGGGTCACCGACACCCACGGGCCAGGACTCTAGGACAGGCCAGCAAATGTGTAAGGTGACGCACGGGGCAGTGAGGTGTCGCCAGGGAGAGCGGAGGGGGACAGGTGGGGAAACACCAGACAGGAAGGCAGAGTCGTGAGAGCAAACCCATCCTTTCTGGTGAGGCTGGGGCTTTTCAGTGCTATTTGCAATTTACGTTTCTAGTATTATTTAAACTATTGATGTAGATACGACTCTACATTCGGGAGGGAGGGGCAAGGGAAGCCTGGGCGATGTCACGGTCTCATCACGAGTGCCGCTTCCTGGGGGGGCAGAATGGACACTCAGGGTCCCTGTCCCCGGGACGCTCGTACAGGAAGCCCTGACCCGCCCCCTTCCTGCTCCTGCTCAGTCTCGCCTGTCGCCCACGTGCTCACCACTGCTGGCAGAACGCCTGAGGTCTGACCTCTTCACTCTCAGTGCCTCCGTCAGATAGTCGGGGGTGCTGCTGGGGGGGTGGGTCCAGGCATGCTCCAAGGTGAGGCCTGGCTTCGGGGGGTGGGCCACACCTCCTGCTTGGAACGTGCACGGGTTAATATGACAGGTACGAGCTACGAGCAAGTGCAATGGAGGCTTCACCTCTATCTGGCGTGAAGGAGGCTTGGCAGCCAGCAGACGCCGCACTGGTGGCGAGCTAGAGACGCTTAGCAGCTGCCGCTCAAAAAAGAGGAAAGTCCCGCCTTGCAGCCTTTGCTGTTCCCACGGTACACGTTCCCGTGGTACACGTGTTCCTGCCACGAGCGGCTTCAAGCCGCCAGTCAGTGTGCTATCACCAGCTCACAAAACCCCTGACAACCTACAGCTCTGCAGGCAGCGGGAGCGACTCCACAGAGCCACCAGCAGCACTGACAACACGGGAACCAAACAACAGAGTCACAGCACCAACCATCAGAAACCGTGCCCTGTGTGATGCAAAAGCAAGGAGGCTCAACATCTTTCAGAAGCGTCCTAGGAATCACCCAAAGAGGTCATGTTGAAAACTCCACCTTGAGTCACTGCCCGCCTGCCTACAGCCCCTTGGCGGGAGGGTCGCCGTGGAGACCCACGTACCTTGCTTCGAGCTTCCCAGCCACAGCTTCTGAGGCGTCAAGGACATTCGGTTTCCAAGAGGCATGCTGGGGGCCGTCCGCAGGGACCTCCAGCACACCGCTGTTCTCGGCTTACAGTAATACGGTGACTCTAAAAGCCAACGCAGGGTTTTAGACCAAGTGCCCACGTCCCTCACCCATGCACTTTGGAAAGACAAAGTGACACAACATATTCACAAAGGCTCCAATAAAATCTGCCCGACAAACACAAAAGCTACAGTGATGACAGGCACACATGCTTACCTTTGTTTAAATTTTGTTATAAAGAAAGATCATAAAGGAAAATTTATTTAAAAATAAATCCTGCCCGGCCAGGCGTGGCTCAGCGGTTGAGCGTCGACCTGGGATCCAGGCGATTAGGGTTTGATTCCCGGTCAGGGCACATGCCCAGGTTGCGGGCTTGATCAATGACTCTCTCATCATTGATGTTTCTATCTCTCTCTCTCCCTCTCCTTTCCTCTCTCTGAAATCAATAAAGATATATTTTTTAAAAAAATAAAAAAATAAATCCTTAATTCTGCCAATATTTCAATATTTAATTTCCATTCAATTTTTTAATTGAATTTCTCATTCAATTAATATATACTTTCACTAGTTGCTATCATAGCGAAAGAAATTTTGTAACCTTTATACTTAACAATGTAAACATTTTTTCATGTCCCTACATAGTAAGTAATAACACTTAGAACTTAATATGTAACATATCTAGAGAAAATAAAAATAATTATACTTTCGCTCGGTGGTTAGGGTGTCAGTCCGAGCAGCAGAGGGTTGAGGGATCGATCCCTGGTCCCCGGCAGGCGCATTTGGGAGGCAACTGATCAATGTGTGTGTCTCTCTCTCTCCCCACTTCTACTTTCTCTAAAAATCAATGGAAAAATATCTGCAGGTGAGGATTAGCAACCATCAAAATAATAATAATTATTATGCCTTTCCAGGGTATTTCTGAGTTTATCGTGAAGATGGGGGAAACATTTCAAAAATATTTTTTAGTCTGGGGTTTTATCTTTAATTTTGTAAAATATGACAAATCTATGCAAAAACTACGTTATTTATAAAACATGCTACTATCAAATAGCCAAGAAATTCATATCTGTAGAAGGTCCTGAAAATCTAAGTCTAATGTATTTAATTTTTTAATTTCCAAGTTTTTCCCAGGGCTTCAAGATCATGGAGAAGTTCCCATCGTCACTCAGAACGAGGGACTAAGGACACATCAGACCCCCCTGCCGCGTCCCACTCACCAGGACCACGTACTGCACCTCCCGGATATCCTAAAGGCCTTCCAAATGTCAAATATCCACTCAAGTGCTCATTTTTAAAAGTAAATTAGTGATCAGGAGACCCCACAAATGATATTCCCTCTTCAATGCATGTGATTCGTCAGTAAATAGTAAGAGCAGAGCTACGAGCAAAGGAGAAACCAAACTAACGGCCAAGGAGCCCGGTGTCTGCGGGAGGCTCCGTGGGACGGTGACAGCTCAGGAGCCCGCTTGGCTGGACCTCCTCTCACTGGGACCACCAGGAAGGCGGTGACCCCAGGAGCGCGCACTCGCCAGGTCCACACACGGAGGCCACGCGGCCGCAGCGTCATGCCTCAGTGGCCCTCCGTGTTCAAGGAACAGAGCATTCTGGGTCTCCCTCCCAGGACACAGGGAAGCGCAGCTCCAACAACCACTTTCCACCTGAACTGGAGAGGCCCGGGCGGGCGGCCCGTCATACTTACTCGGTGATGTGGGCGAAGGTTTGTGGAAACTCTTCCTCTTTGTTTTCTGAAAGGAGAACCGAGGGAAAGCAGCTGAGCCTTCTGAGCAGCCGTGGCCTCGTCACCAGCACTGGTGTGTTCAGAGTGGCCAGGGTGTGAGGGCAACGAGGGAGGGGACTGACCCACAGAGACGGTCCGGTCTGAGCAATGCCAACGGGGCCCACGGCTGAGCCCGGGCTGAGCAGAGTTCCCTCAAGTCCTGGTGGCACCAGTCATGTCACAGACACAGAGGGTGCGGAAACTTAAATTCAGCTGGAGACACTGCACAAATGGTGAACCTATCCACCCTGGCTGTCCCCAGGCCTGGAGCACTGGGTGTGACTATCCCCGAGGGCGGACTGAGCAGCTGAAACCTCGTAAACAGAGCAAGGAGGAGGGGCCTGCAGAGGAGCGAGGCTGTCTGGAGGACCATTGGGGACAAGCAGGATGCCAAGCCCAGAGCGGGCACCAAGGAGATGCCCCACCTCGAGGTCATGGGGCCATGTGGCCGGGAATGACACTCCCTCCACCGTTTCCTCACCGGCTCCACATCAGGTGGGGCCTTCCCCTCACTCGGCTTCCAGTGGAGGCACTGGCTTTGCCCCAGGCAGGCTGGACTTCACCAGGGACGGCTGGGGCCCATGTCCTCAGTGGGGCTGAGGGACAATTCTGAACCCTGCAGTGGCCCTCACTTCAGACAATGGATGGCACGGCTGGGGGAGTGGAGGTTTCCGGGTGTCAGACACCCTCGGGTGGGCAGACCGCACGTCGGCTGGAATCCTCCCAGCTGGGAGGACAGCTCCCTCCTCTCACTAGCAAGCCCTGAGGGAGGGCCGAGGGGGCCACAGTGTGCCCCTGGACCCCAGACCTGCCCAGCCTGCTGTCTGTGCTTCGCGTGGGGACCGGGCCGGCCAGGACATTGCTGAGCAGCTGCAGAGAGCATCCCACCTCCCACGGCCGCTCGGAGGACCTTGCCCTGAGCCCCGCTCCCTCCCCTCACGTGTCAGAACTGGGGGGCTGGAGGCAGGGCCAAAACCCGATGCAGGCAGGTCCTTGTTGACGGCCTCATGTACTCTGCCAGGACTAACTTGTGAATGAAAACTTTGAACGGTCAGTTATTCAACTCCAACTAAAGTCTTGCTACTGCTCAAACGCGGAGCAGCACCCGGAATCTGTGTTCCAGGTCTAAACCCAGCCGTGCGAGGGGCGCCTGCCGCACACATGTGAGTGACGTGTGTAAGGGAAGTCACCGGCACCGGGACGCACGGCGGCCTCCTGATGACACTCACTGTCTCGAGGTCGGAGTCCAAGGAGATCGCAGACAGACTGTCATCTCCCTGCGGGAAGAGATGCAGACATTGAAACTTCAAGGCACCGGCGTGGCCCCCAACAGTCACACTCACAGCCTGTCCACGTCCACGCCGCTGAGGCAGAAACCCAAACACCCGCGGGAGTAACCGCGGGCACTGGAAGCTGGCAGCAGGCCGCTCGGCTGCCTCAGGAGGGACCGGTGGAGACACAGAACAAACCCTCCTCCGTCTGTCAACCGGCAGTGAAATTTCCAGAGTCGCTGGGGACTTCTGATCAAGAACCAGCTCCTGACAAGTGTTTCATTTCCACCTGGTCTAAACGCCCTCAGATTCACCGTCACAGCAAAGCCCAAGGAACCTGTGACAGTCTCCCGGCGACAAGTCAGACTCATGTGGAAACCCACGAACACCTGCGTTGGGGGCTGATAAAGGCCCTGCCTTCCTGTTCCAGTGCCTGCCCCGGCCCAGCGAGTGACGTAGGTCTGACTGGCTTATGCCAGTACCAGGCTGCTGGTCCCTGCGGCACGGTGGGAAAACCGTCAGCTCCTGACGGTGACAGCGGCCTCCGCGAGCCACACACGCGTGTGTGCACAATGGCAAAGGACTGGCCAGGAGCCTTAGCCACAACTTTTGACCAATGAGTGGCTTCTGCTGACCCATGGGGGACCCCAGTAGTTAGGCTAAAAGACTGAAGCCCTTTTACAGGTGCTGGCTCTTCGATCACTGGTGGTCACCGCAGGCTCCCCTTCATGCTGTGGCTCTGCCCTGTGGGGCCTGTCACAGCCCTGGCAAGGTGAGCAGCAACCCCCCCCCCCACATGGTCGG